CCGGCGGAAGGGGACCGCAGCAGCCAACCGGTCGCGGCCAAAAACAACCATCGCGCGGCGGCGGTCCAGGCCGTGGTCGAGGCCGCGGTAGCAGTGCTACGCCGGAGCACTCAACTTCAGCTTATGTGGCTCTGTTCGAGCGGGGCTCCGATGCCGCTCGCCGCAGGGTCGGTTAGCCGCGAGATGGAGCAGAAGCTCACGTTTCAGGCTTCGTCTTCGACCGCTGTTCCGGCGCCTCGCTCACAGGTTACGGCGAGAGAGGAAAGAGGGGTGGGGGCGGCGCCGGTGGAGAGAGAAGAGACAAAACGGAGGTTGAACGGAGAGAGGCGCAACAGTCAATAGAAAAAAGGGAGAAATCAGATCTAGAGAGAAAAAAGAGAGAAACAAATACTGCCTCTGTTCCACAATAGCTGTCTATTTTTAAAAATATTTTTGTTCCATATTATCTGTCACTTTAGATTTTCAATACTGCATTAAATGCATTTTTTCTGTTTTAACCTTATTAATGAGACTCTATTCATTAATTTCTCTTATAAATCATTAAATATTAAGGGATGTTTTAGTCATTTTTATATGATTTTTCTAAAATCAAGATATATTTATTGAGTTTCTTAATCCTTGTGAAAAGTGAAAAGTGACAATTATTTAGGAACAAATGGAGTATTACGTATATTTATGTTCAACCCTAAGAGAAAAAAAAGGGAGGAAATCAGATCTAGAGAGAAAAAACAGTGAAACAAATATTACGTATATTTATGTTCTACCCTAAGATACCTTATAATAAGATAAGGGTATAATGGTGATACTTAATTAATTTTTATTAATAAAAGATGTTTTGGATTTATCTTAAAAATACAAAATAAATTTGGGCTCATTGTAATTGCACTTGTGTGATGAGGGGGTTTTGTCAAATTATCCCTATTTTTAATGATAAAATTGACCTTAAAAGATATTAGACTTTAATTATAAATAGTTAATTCAAGTTAAGTAACATATATAAGTTTAATCGATTCAAATATTTGAATAATGTTTACTAATTGAAAAGATTTGAGCTTAATCAATTCAAATCATACTATTTCATTAAACTAAATATTTAAGGAAGAATCACAAAATATTATTTTGAGTATATAGCAAGGTTGTAAAAGGCGGTAATCGGGTCCGAGTCGGTCAGGCACCGACTCACGATTAATCGGTGCGGCGGTGATTAATCGGTGATAAATCGGTGATAAATCGGAAATAAATCGGTTTTTAAAATTTAATATAATATATTTCTAAATATTATTTATAAATACTCCAAACATATATAAAAAGATATTTAAACATAGTTATATCTCCATCATGTATATATCCTAATAACATAATAAAAGTTTAATAATTATAAGATCATAATACATAAATATCCTTATAAAATATAAATAAAAAAGCAAAATTTTTGAATTAACATTTATTCAGTTCTTTAACAATAATAATTAACATAAACAAAATAAGGCATAAACTCATATTTTATTTTATTAAAATCCAACTTTTATTTTGAATTATTAAAAAAAAAAAAAAAAAAAAAAAAAAAAAAAAAAAAAACGATTTTTGACCGATTTTTGCCACGGAGTTTGACCCGCCTTAAAGGTTTGACCGCCTCAGACCGCCTAAAACCGCCTCACAGGCAAAAAACCGATTTTTCAAACATTTACACTAAAATCGTAAAGGTTTTGGACCGCCTCGGCCGATTTTTAGAACACTGGTATATAGTAAGAAAACTAATTGAAATGAGTTATAATCTATTTTTTCAAAGTAACCATCTTATTTTATTTTTTATTCGAATTTGAAATGAGTTATAATCTATTTTTTCTAAGTAAGCATCTTATTTTATTTTTTATTTGAATTTGTCACACTATCGGATTAATAACATAAGTGAGCTTCTATTAAGTAAATTGAATATTCTTTATATTTTTCAATAGTGATGTTTATTAATATTATATAACTAATGATAGATGTATGTAGACACGGCCACGGGGCGGGTCGGGTCCGTGTCCGGGGCGGGTCCACTCGGGTCCACCCGGTTCTGGGCCGGGTCCAGGCCAGGACCGGATTTTTAAATTTTGTTCAAAATGTGTGATGTATGGGATTCGAACTTGGGTTCCCACACACAAAATGGCAATCCAAATCAAGGAGCCAAGACAAATATTTGTGAAATTACTTGCACGAAATATATATGACATAAACAAAATATGTAAAATGATTATAATAAATAATGTTAACTAGATTATTAATTATCATATTTATTATTGTTAAATAATTTTATTTAAATTATTAACAAATATAATATAATAAAAAAATAAAATAAATTGAAAGGACTTGAGCTTAATCCATTTAAATCTTACGATTCGATTCTGATATTTGAATAAAATATAAATGTAAAAAAAATTGATTAAATCATATGACCTACAATTTAATTCTTACGATTTTTACAAATTAAACCAATTATTAAAAGAGAAATCACATCATAATATTTTAATTATACTCGTCATGTATAGTTTTATTTTTGTTAAAATAAACATCATCTATATTTTTAAAATAATTATTTTTTGATAAAATAATCAATAATTTTAATAAGTTCTTGTCAACAATTGAGGTTAATCGATTTAAATTAATTGAAATGAGTTATAATCTATTTTTTTAAATAAACATCTTATTTTATTTTTCATTCGAATTTTTCACACTATCGATTTTAATATCATAAGTGAGTTTGTATTAAGTCAACGCGTTTGTTTATATATTGAATTGATTCAATAATTTATATTTTTCAATAGTGAAGATTATATTGATATTGATGCGGCAGGGTTGACCGCTTCAAGAAATTCGAATCTTCAAGTCCGTTCCATATTAGGCATGTTCATCGCGGATCTGCAAAAGGGACCAGGAGATGTGCTCTCGGCGTTAGCACTGCGACGCCCAAGTTAGAATACCTCAAAGATTCGGAGAGAAATATATTCGGGAGAAAATGGTGTGTCAAGATCAAGAATGCTTACCTTGAGGGTGATGAACCCTCTATTTATAGAAGAGGATTTTCAAATGTCACTCATTTTATCCAATTCGGTTAATAGAGTCGTTTGATGTCCATGACACTTTATGAGAGTCTTAGTGGTTAAGTAATGAAGATATTTCATATGCCTTAGTGTTTAAGTCATGAGGTGGCACCTTCAGCTCGTCATTCATCACTCGACGCTCGGTACTCGGCAGCTCGTCACTCGACACGTCTGTTACTTTCCGCTCGCCCTCGGCACTCAGCACTCGGCATTCGGCGCTCGGTACTCGGCAACTCGGTACTCGAAAACTCGTCGCTCGACACTCGACACTCGGCGTATTGTCACTCGTCATTCGACGTTCGGCACTCGTGAGCTACCTTCAGCTCGCTTAGAGGTCTTCAGCTCGTCGAGGGTCACCTAGTCGTCTTTACTAACAATGTATTATTATCTTTGGGCCTTGCACCTGTGGGCTCAATGTTTTGGGACGTTATCCGATGAAATGGGCCAGTAAGCTCGGATTCGATGTCGTCCTATTTCCTCCTTCGGGTATGGGCCAACTCTATTGGGCTTTGCATATTTGGGCTCTGCCCGGGTCAGATATAATAATTAATAAAAGATGTTTTGAAGTATTGAACCGCGATTCTATATATTTTTTAAAAGTTTCTTATATTGCATTTGTAAATAATTTAATTAAAATTATTTAATAATAATTAATATAAAAATTAATAATTTATTTAACATATTTATCATTTTACACTAGCGTTTTATATTTATATATTTATTGTCTATATTTTTTCAAGTATGTTGGTTGCCCTAGTGGTTAGAGTTGCCCAACTTTGTCTTTTTTCCCGAGTTCGAATCCCCCAATGCTCAATTTGTGGACAAAAAAATCGGATACCGGATATTCTCGGTTGACTTGATGGGTCTCGGGTCCGGATCCTCGGGTTCTCCAAAACATCTAATTGCTTAGATTTTTTTTTTATTTTTTTTAATTTTGTGAATAAAACCTTTTCTTTTTGTCATTTTGAATTTCTTCATTTTTTTTAAATGTCTTCCGATACTTCAAATATCCTAAGATTAAAAATTATATTAAATTTGTCAATAAATAATTAATGATAGATGTTTGGGGTATTCAAACTTTACTAGATTAAGGTTAATCTCTTGTCTCGAGACCGTGGCATATATATATGTCGAAAATGTGTTTAATGACTTTCGCATTTGCTTCAGTTGTCTGGCTGTAAATAAGTGTATCATCGACACCTTCTCTCCTTGTAAACCACGAGCCACCACTTTAGCAATCATAACAATAAGTACACAGGACAAAACACAATTAATTTGTCTACACACTCCGACTCGTCAATTAATTTGTTAATAAATCATTTTCTCAAACAATATAAATGTTTAGTATGCAAGTAATATAATTGGGCTACGTTCACAATTTCTTCACCATAACCATCCTTGTAATAAAAGTAATTAAAATCATAGTTTACACGTAAGTTTGTGAATAAGTTTATTTCTATGTTGTGGAGCAAATTGATTACTCCCTCCGTTACTAAATAATTGTCACTTTTCAATTTTCACAAAGATTAAAAATCTCAATAAATATATCTTGATTTTAAAAAAAATCAAACAAAAATAACTACAACCTTTAATATTAAATGATTTATAAGAGAAATTAATGAATATAGTTTCATTAATAAGGTTAAAACAGGAAAAATGCATTTAATGCAGTATTGGAAATCTAAAGTGACAGATAATATGGAACAAAAATATTTTTAAAAAAAGACAGTTATTATAGAAAAGAGGGAGTATCAACTTCTTTATTAAGATGATCGATTCCTATTAAAATAAAAATCTACTTTAATTTATTGAATATGTCGTTGTAAACTTACCAATTCGACATTTTTAGGTTTCGATATTAATACAAACTCGTGCATATAATAAATTTATAGAAATATATTTTTTTTGGTAATGAATTTATGCGGAAACTCTCATAATAATTTCGAGGCCTTGGCGAAAAAAAGCTTGAAAGGCATCCATTTCGAGCTTGGTCCTCGACAATCCAATCTCAAATCCTCCGTCGAATTCCCTCGACTTGCAAAGCGACATCGATTTCTCCGTATCAAGATGAGCAAATTCATACTTCTTCGCCCTTCCCCCCCACCCGAAATCAACCTCGTACACATCGAACCTCGGCGAACCAGCCACCGACATCACCCGTTTCCCGTCAAATCTCGCGAAATCCACCGGCCAATCTGCACTATCAAGTATTCCATCATTATCACTAGTGTCCAAAGTCTCCCTAACAGCCTTTCCAATGGACTCTGCAGCAATTAGGAAACCCTCATTATTCCCCTTTAACAATAATCCATGCATGGATTCTGCAATCACAAATACTACACAATTGCCAAAGTAAGCTGCCGGCAAAGGTGGAACCAAACGCGGTCGGCAATCTGCAGCGGTGGTGAAGCAGACGGGCTCGTTTTCGTCGGTCTTTTCTCCAACAGCAGCCTCCGATTTGACGGAACAACTCCAGATATAAGCACATATAACCGTGAAAGACGAAACGTGAGATAAATTTGGTCTATTGACCGAAACGTACGTCTTCATTTTCTCGATGACCGTATCGGTCAACACGAGAGTGACACGTACTCTGTTGGTCTTAATGGGAAATGTTGTTGTTGATGATAACTCGACAGCCGAATTACCCCTGGAATTCTTCTTCACGATTTCCATGGCCCTGGAAACTAATTTCCCGCCTGGATCTCGTACTACTAAAGTGGTTCTATCAAAATCAGGCACATCTGCGATCGTTAATAGATCAATCGATGATGATGATTTGTTTACCACGGCCCATATTTTCAAGAAACTGATAATACTGCTCTCGTCCGCCACAACATGATAATTTGACAGACCGACGCAGATTCCCTTCTCCGGAAAGAGTGTAATTTGAAGTGCCAAGACAGAAAACACCAGGGAGTCGTCGGACATGCGGCGCGCGGGTGGCAAGTGAGGGACGCATGCGTAGAATTCGTTGGCTGATCTTTGATGGTTTCCCGTGAGATGTTCGAAGTCTTTGTCGCACTGAGCGATTGTCAGAGAAACTGAGTCCCCGGGGACGTATCGGCTTAGAGGGGTGGTGCCGGCCCCGGGGATGATTATTTTTCCGGCGAGAGGGAGGAAGTGTGTGAGGGTGGTGGCGAGAGATTTCTTAAGTTGTGGAACAATGGTTTCCACGAAACGGGATTTTGAGCACGTGGGAGAATTGAAGAAGATTAACCTCACCGTTGGATCGGAAAGTAGAAATGGTATGTCGAAATGTGTTAATGGGAGAGAGAGAGACAGCTCTTGATCATCTGAGCATGGTGAAGGCTGAATTTTGCAGTGCTCAAGCTTTTCTGCATCCATTATACGGAATTGCGCGAGGCCAAGCTTTTCTGAACTGGAACGACGAGAGGAACTGAACTCACAGCTACGCCGTACGTGCGATATATGGATTTTACAACTCTCTATGCTCTTTTAACTACTACAACTATTACTTCATATTATTTATGTATGGAGTGCTTCTATAGCACTGATTAATAAATAGAGGTGAGGAGAGGTGTACTTTAGGCAATGTTTGGTTGAGTTTTCATCTTATCTTAATTATTTCTCGAAACAAATTCGTGTTTGTTAACGTTTTAACAAAAAAAAAGAAAATCAAAACAACTTTTTCCTCCGAATACGACGTGACTGCAACAGTAAAAAAAAATTGCCTGTAAAAATTGTTTTCACTGAACAAAACAAATATAAATCACTTTATTTTTCAATTTTTTTTCTACAATACATTTCACTAACGCATTTAAACATGATTTGTGTTTGTCTAGGGTGAGATACCCGTCTTCCAAACTCATATGAGATATTATTCAATTATCATTAATTTTGTAATATTAGATCTCGACCGTAGAAAAAATAGCACATATGGTATTAAAAATAATTAGTAATTTACCAAATTAGTCTTCGATTAATTTTTTTTAATTAAATCAATATAAAATAGATTAACATCGAATTGTCTAATTTAGACCCTACTATATTTTAATTAAATAATTAATTTAAATCCATTGTGACCCAATTTTATTTGATAAATAATCGAAAAAAATGCATTCATTAAGAATAGAACTTACATAATCTTAGTGCATTCAACACTACTAACCATCTAAGCACATTAACTTATTAAAATATATTTAAACATAATTATATGTATTGGTAAAACACAATACAAAATGATAATAAATATAAGTATTTAAATAATGTTAAGTAAAATATTAATTGCGGCATTCATTATTATTAAAAGATATTTAATAAACTATTAACAAATTTAATATAATAAAGTTTGAAAAATATAAAAAAAAAATGCGGTTCAATACCACAAACATCTATCATTAATTATGTAACATTAAAATAGGAGTCTTAAGATATAGGTCCCTGTTCACAAAACTTATTAGAAATAAATGACAAGTCCAACTAAATCTTTGGTTCACATCCTTTATAAAATTCATTCCAAAAATGCTCTTCTACTCACAAATTCTAAATCTGCATTTAGTAAATTCGAACTGCTTTTATTATTTTATTCTGCATTTAATAGTTTCATTTATACGTCTAACGTTTTTTTAATATTTTTTTATTTTCTTTCTTCATTTTAGCATTTATACAAAATTATAAAAATAAAATTATTTTTTTCCTTTTTTTCTACATAATATTATTGCAAAAATAAAAGCATGCAATTTTTTTTTGGTTCATTTTTTAATCCAATATACATATTTTTTCCGAGTAGACTATAGTATATTACGATATACTATAGTTTAGTACTATTGTATACTATATTTTACTATGATGTACTATTAAACCCTAGCCGTTAATAACTCCCAGCCGTCGCCAACCCTAGCAGCCAAACGTAGTTGCCGCCAAACTCTAGCGGTCATACCAAGCAAAATCTCTTAAGAGATAATCAGATATAATTAGTCAAAAAAATGCTTTCAATAACAGATGATTCTTCAATTCATAGCGCCGTTAGACACTCGTAGTCTCGTAGACAACTAGAGTCATTTTCAAAACCCTACTTTTGCCATTCAGAACCCTAGCACCGCTAGCAAAAGTAGACCAGCCACTGTCCTCGCCGTATATGCAATTCAACAACGTACACATACAATGAATTCATCATAACCAGCCCTAGCCACTGCTCAAAAAGCAACGAAAATATCTACGCAGGCACACATCTCGCCAACCCTTCCGTGATGCAATCACCACTTTCCCCGCCAAGGCAAGTCAGGGACATTGGTTCCGCCGCACAACGCGCGTCTGAATTGGCCACCACCGTTCATTGCAGATCTATTGTTCCCCCACAAATTTTTAAAAACTCAGATCTAATAATTAAAAAGAAAGAAAAAGAAATTGAAAGAAAGAAAAAGAGTGAATTAGAGAGATTGAGCGGGGAAATAGAGAAAGAGAGAGAGAAGAGGAGGAGTTGGGCGGCGGAAGAATAGAGAGAAAGGGGAGAAAGAGAGAGAGAAGAGGAGGAGTTGGGTGGTGGAAGAATAGAGAGAGAGGGGGAGAGAGAGATAAGTAATATAATGAGATTATACTGTAATTTTTTATGAGGGATCTTAAGATATAAGTCCCTGGTGACAAAACATATTAAAACTAAATCGATTCAAATCTTTGAATGTTGTTTTCGAATTGAAAACACACGAGCTTAATTGATTCAAATCTTACGATTTAATTAATCATACTATTTAACTAAATCTTACGAATTACTGTTCAATTCAAACTTCAAATTCTTTCGAGATTCATTTTTAAATTACACGGGTTGATCAACATTTCCTTAAATTTTAAAATATATTAAATATAAATTTGTTAATATTGGATATTTTTAATATATAATAATTATTATATGATAATAAGTAATTTATTTAACATTATTTATATAAGTTTTATAAGCATTATATATTGTAGCTTTATGATATATATGCGTATTGTGATGTTCCCGGTATATAAAATGGGTTGTGAATTTGGTAAAATGATTGAACAAATTAATTAGTGACAATATGAAAAGATTAGCCAGGACGAGAAAACTCTTTCCTTAAGACGATATTTGCCCGCTACGGTGCCTACGGTTATTTGACCATGGTTTCCCAAGATACAATGGCTAAACTCGGAATATGAGCACTCAAAATCCTGAGTGCAACGAATGTTACTTTGTATCTCAAACTCTCAGATTGAATACGGAAAAAAATATTCTACGAAAAATATTTTCAGGCTAAAGAAAGAAGAATTCCATATAATAAAATTATAAGTTTCCAATCGTTGTCATTAATAGTCACAACCCTTAGAAAATTAAACAAATGAAAAGGTGTGTCCACACCTTTTCATATTATCACACCCTATTTGATTAAATAGGTGCTAAAAAACATTTTTTAATTTCCATTCAAAAAATAAATTTATTTTAAGAATAAAATTTCCAACATATTGTTAGTTTATTTCCAATAATATGTTTGTCTCAATGGTAATCATTATAGATTGTAACTTTATGATCTATACGCGTATTGTTAGTTTATTTAAGATGGTTACAAATTAGAGATCAAGGTGATGTATTTTTGGACAGGTGGTTTCATGATTTTTACGAATAATGATATATTTGATTTTACAAATTTAAATTCAGGAAAAAATAATGTATATGAGAAAATTAACTCCAACCTTTTACACCCAATTCTTAATTGTAACCCCAATTTAATCAATTTTGACCACAAAAATTCAATTTTGACTTTTTTTTAACATTTTTTTTCTGAAATTATTTTTTGCCTCCGGTTTTCGGTGTTGACTTTTTCGATTTTTTTTTTCTACTTCTGATCTTCTTTTTCTACCGCCGATTGTCGGCGTGGACCGCCGGTCTCCGGTGTTGACTTTTTCGATTTTTTTCTATCTGTTTTTTTCCGCCGCCAGTCTCCGACGTCTTCGGCGTTGACTTGTTTTAGTGAATTTTTTTTTCTCCTATGATGTTTATACATTTTTTTACTCTGCCGCTAGACGTTGACCGTAATTGTACTGTCATTAACAATATTTATACTATCACTAACAGTACATTAAAGTAATTGTACTATCGTTGTTGACAGTACATTAACGTAATTATATTGTCGTTGACAGTACATTTATGTAATTGTATAGTCGTTGACAGTACAATTAGAGTCAGCAACAATATTATTACTTTTTTGGGTTTTTTTTTGTTTGATTTGTTGACAAGTCAACGTAATTATATTACTGTCGTTGAGAGTAAAACAAATGTAACCACAATAATATTACTATCAACCACATCAATATTATTATTTTTTTGCGTTTTTTGTTTTGTTTGAGTTGTTGACGGAGTAACGTAATAATATTACTGTCTACTATTGTAATATTACTGGAAACACAATAGTATTATTGTGGTTGACGGTAATATTACTGTTGTTACAGTAAGATTACTGTCAACCACATCAATATTAATTCTTTTGGCTTTTTATTATGTTTACCTTTGTTGAACGATCAACATATTAATATTACTCTATTACACAATAATAATGACTTTTGGTGTGTTAATATTACTGTGCTGGAAGTTAATATAGTAATATTACTGTGTTAAACTGTAGTATAGTTCATATTACTGTGTTATAAACTAATATAGTTAATATTACTGTCAACCACAACAATATTGTTGTTTACACGGGGGCAAAAAGATGTTAAATAAAAAAATTTAAAACAAAAAAAAAATCGAAAAAGTCAACACTGGAGACCGACGAAAAATCAGGAAGAAGAAAAAAAAGAAAAAAAAGTCAACACCGAAGACCAGCGGTCAACGGTGGCGACGGACGAAATTCTACTCAAAATTGTGTTTTGGGTCAAACTTGAATAATTTGTGAAATTTGGGGTCAAATTGAGGTTAAATTAAATTAAAGGATGAAAATGGAGCATATTAAAATGTGAGGAGCTATTATAGTCTTTTACAAACATCTGGACAATGTGTGTATTTTTTTGTAAAATATTTTTTTGTGTAGACCCCTTCATAAATAAGTATCCATTAATGGACTTATTTGTAAAGTGCTCAATTAAACATTTATAATAAAGGCATTTTAAACAATATACAAATCATTAACAATTCAACTGTGTTGCTGAGACACGTAACGCGATTTAAACGGCATATCTCATATGAGCTGTGTTGCTGATATTCCACCCTAGATAAACCCTAAACCTAACAATTAATGTGAGATAAAGCTACGTTTTCCTAATTTAATTTGTCATGTTCTATATTTCTCTCATGCCACTTTGCTATCTTTCTCTCTCTTCAAATTGGACCATACGTACTTCTATGATTAGTCTTCTCAATTTACCATATTTATTCATGTATATTTCTTCTAATTGCTTCGATCCCTTTGCATTATTTGTTGTTGGTGGGAGTGGAGGGTTGGAGATTGGGTGGGGGGATTTATCACTAGTC